CCTACAACAAAAATCTGTATACTCTGTAATGTTTTAAAGCACTAATCTAGTATTTCTTTTTACTGCTATGTTTCTTGACCTGTAACTATTCTGTATGTTTTTGCTTAGCAATTATCAGGATGTTCATGATCTCTTAAAAGATACCTAGACTAATTTAGTCAGTTACTACATTCCATTACACAGAACATCTGTATATGCATAAGTATTTTAATCAAAATAGGATTTTCTGAATTAAACTATTGCATCTTTCTTACCCATTCTTACAACATTTAGAAAAGAACAAAAATGCAAATTATTATGCTAAGAATCTACTTGGAAATTTGGATCACCTACAAAAAGTTCAAGAAGTAGCCTATATATTTACTTAACTTTTTTTTTATAGTGATGCAAGCAGAAAAAAATTATTTCAAGTAACCAAAAACACAAAAGCAATCACCAGATACATATGTCCAGATAAAGGCCTGGGCACAGAATTTCATCTGGGAAACTACTTTTACCAAAAGTAGTAACTAAAGATCTGCTATAATGGAAATTCACACGCAAATTTAACTACACTGTTTTCTACCAATAAAATCTTTTCACTTTGACTGGTAACTGAATTAAAAAGAAAAATTCAACCCAAAATGTCTCTTGGCTTCCAAGTTAAATCAGGGAGATAAAGAAAAATTAATTAATATTAAAAAGTCATTTAACGTAAGTACATTTAAGACTACATTAAAAAAATAGAAGTTATTGATTTTGGAAAAGTAAAAAAAAAAGGAGTAGCAAGTATATGAAACTGCATCCTGATTCTGAACATTTAAAAGAAGAGACAGAACCATTAACAGATGTTAAAATAAAAGCTTTTGGCAATAAAATAAAACTTTGTATAATCACACATACAAAAAAAAGGAAAGACTTTTGAAACTCATATCCATGGAAGGCCTCCTAAACAGAAAAGCAGCAACAGCACAGAGCTTACCAAACCTACGCCAGTAAGGTCTGTCAAAAGGCTTAAACCTTGCCTTTTCCCAGGAATTTTATCTGCTTAACATATTTAATTTAAAAAATCAGAAATCCTACACAAACATTCCCACTGTTCTTCCATATTGCTAAAATTATTCTTAAACATAGCTTGATTTAGACTCTTAACAGTATTATTACTTCTAAACATCAACTCTATGGCCTCTCTAGGCCTGTAACTAGTGGAATGCCCCAAGGGT